ATCAAACTCTCTCTACAATATTCTGCTCTTAACAAATAACATGAGATGACCATTTAATCGTCTAGGTATATGAAAAAGAAGATAAATGTAGAAAAAGTAAGGTTGTAAGGGTAATTAAAAAAAATTAAATAGAAAATTTACCAAAAGGGAAAAATGTAGCAAAAATACACTTTAAAAGGGAAAGTGTAGCAAAGACACTTTAAAATTTGATATTTTTTGACAATAAAATCATAAATGAAAAGTTATAACAATTGCTAAAAAGAGGTGGAGTGACATATGACAAGAAATTTTTTAAAGATTATACCAAATTTTATACTCCCTCAGTCCCACAAAAAACTTCCCACATTGACTTGGCATGCATATTAAGGAATTGAGAGTAAAGTGGAAATGTACGGTTGTAGTTGTGTAAGAAAAAGGTAAATGGATGTGAGTCACAAAAACAATAGATCAATGTACGAGCCACCCAGCATTACTCGCACACCGTTAACAACTAACAAAGCATCTTATTCGAACTCCACGCAATCCCACCTTTCTTTCAGCACATCCTCCACTGCTGCTCAAACTCCAACGCCCTTCGTGGATCTGGTAGTCGCCTTGATGAATGACCGTACCCTTGATCCGTACGAGCAACCCAGCTCCAAGCCCTAATGCCTCTTGCCTCATTTACTGCAGCATCTTTGTTGACTTTTATGCCCCCGCGTTAGGCTTATGCCACTTTTCCAACCCCATATTTCTCCTTTGAACCTCACATCCTGCTGACTCTCTTAGGCCGCCTCCCAAGCATTTAACATGCTATCAGAACACCTCACCACCACCATACTACTTTGAGTTTCTCCTTTCCACACAATATTGTTGTTGCGCTTCCAAAGGCTCCATAAAATTTCTATAAACTGCCCACGCCTAGTTTTGTAAATCCCCTCCAAGTTCATCTTTATCATGCCTCAAAACTGCCTGCCGGATTATGTTGTCTCCATCTCAATGTCAGGCACACTTCTCCACTCGTTGGGCAGTCATGAAAAATGTGCAATGTCGAATCGGGAGGGATCCCTTGGACCCTTGATGCAGGACTTGCAAGTCAAAGGTAAATTGAACCCCCTCTTATTAAGATTTACAGATATAGGGAGGGATCCATCCGTAAGTTGCCAAAAGAAAATTTTCAACTTCGGAGGAATTTTTAACGACAACATCAAGTCCACCCCCATCCAAGCAGAGGGCGCCGTCGTCCTTGCTATTAATTTATAACAACTTTTAATTGAAAAAATGTCATTTCCTTCCCTATCATATAAGCTAATCGGTATGCTCAAATCTTCTCACTCTATTCCTGTGAGAATAAAGTCCTCACTCTGCTAAAGTCATATCACGAATCCCACCAGGTCGATCAAATTGAACCAATCTGGAACCCTCCCCAGGTAGCCACATATCTGACCAGACCTGAGAATCTTTACCATTACCCCTCTCTTGCGAGTATGCGTTTTTAGGATAATTTGTGAGTCCATGATACTGTGCCAAATATAAGAAAGATTATTCCCCATATGAGCATCCAAGAAAGAAGAATTTGGGTAATACTTTGCTTCAAATTTGATCTCAATCGCGCTCAATTGTGTGGTTATCAAATTGAACTCGTTGAAATGCTCTACAACTGTTGTGCTTTCTGACATCTTTAGGTTAAAAAGACGCCTCATCAGATGAACCTTGTTCGCATAAGAAGGTTTCTCGTACATATCCGATAATATCTGCAACATCTCCTTCGTTGTTTTTGCTTTCGCGGTGTGGAGGGCGATGTTTCTGGTCAGCGATAATCGAACCACGCTCATCGCCTTCCTGTCTAGCAACTTCCAATCACTCTCCTTCATGTCTTCTAGCTTGTCATCCAGCGGTTGATACAAATCTTTACCATATAGGTAATCTTCGATTTGCATCTTCCAGAAACCGAAATCTGTTCCATCGAACTTCACCAATAGTGTCTTCAAATTGTCTACCATCGTATTGAACTCTCCCTTCGAACCTAGGGCTCTGATGCCAATTGTTAGGAATTATCGTACTCAACACGAAAAACAATAAGAAAGAACACACGAATTTGGTAACCCAGTTCGCCACAAAGGACTACGTCTGGGGGCGCTACAAAGCCAGGAATTGCTATTAATTTCGGATCAAGTGATTACAAAGGAGAGAGCTTGTATTTATAGAGAGTAAAACCTAACCCTAATCATATAGGACACGCGCGCGAGGCCCACATTTGTACGGTCCAAAATTGTACGGAAACTCGCGGCTCTTCAGAAACGGACCCAAAAACACGCGCGCTAGGTTATACAGTCTCTAACACCTTACAGTTTTGTTTTAGAAATGACTTTTGTGGAGTCACCTTAATTTGTAGCCATATCCTTTTTATTTCTTAATCCGTATTTTGTTACACCATACAGAGTATTATTTGTAGTTTTGTACACCAGCCATCTTCTTCGCTTCAAAATTTCAGACATTGAGATGTCGTTTGCTAACACTGTTTTTCGGCTTATCAGCCAACTTTTACACCAAACACGTAATTTTTGCTTTCGCGCGCTGAATTGTGTAATAAGCAGAAAAAGTAAGGTTGGAGTTACTTTTCTGACTGCATTGGCTGAAGTTACTGTAGATGACCATTTAAGCTAATTTTACGTATAATTTTTTCTTTATTTTATTAATGAAATATATTTTAAATTTTTTTTACTTAAATCAGCAGAATCAGCCAATGCAGCCACTTCAGCCAGAACTTTATAAATTTCAGCAGAATCAGACAAATCAGCCAATTTTCGTGTTACCAAACGGTCTCTCATTATCCCACTTTTTTGGCGATAATATACCAGAAAAGATGTCATCGGCGTCGAATTTTTCTGCCGGAAAGTGTACGTTCTAGTGGAAAAGTCCTCAAAATGCAAAGATTTATTAGTTACATGACCAAATTTTCTTGGGCTAAAAATCCCAAATTAGTTACGAATTGAAAGACACTCAACACATTCAAGAACTGGACAGATCGCACCCCTACATTTTCCTTTATAAGAAGACTAAATATCACTTTTTAATTTTTTTTTTAAGTTTATCTTGTGTATCAGTATTAATGTAAAATCTCCTTGTTCAACCTTATTTACCATAAAATAATAATAAAAAATTAAAATTTAATGTTAAAATCTTGCATATTGAGGCCATCTTGGTACCCACCTCCCGACCCGACCGGTAGTAGTCCGAGACTTGTTGGTTGATTTGTATGTAATATGTGTTTATGATGATTAGAAGACAATAAAAAAGTTCATGGAATTCTTCGGTAAGGAGAAGAGACAATTGCAGAGAATTACTACACTAAGAATGAGTTAAATGTTCACAAGAATCCGTGACTTTATAAGTCAATAAGGGCCCGTTTGGTATGATGTAAAGTAAACACTTTGCGTGTAAAGTGTGGGGATGTAAACATTTTACACCGTTTGTTTTAAATATTTGATGTAAACTGTAGGACACTTTTTTTAAAACATTTTACACTGTACCATGTAAAATAGTTTACGTGGGAGGAGAGTAGTAAACTAGTTTACATCGATTAATTAATACCGAGTATGACTATTTAATACCGAGTAAATTCGCAATTGCTATGCGGAATTTGTTTTTTCTGCTAGGTTCTACACATACCAAAAGCAAAAGTGCAGAACCTTTGGCGTTAATAATAATACTCCGTAATAGCTATCAGTTATGTTTGCGAATTGATAATAGCCTACGTACTCATTTTCAAAAAGCTTATTACTTTAATTACATTATACATTCGAATAGCTAAAAAGAATTGCTGTTAGCTAACCTATTTGTTTTTATATCAAATCAATCTGCCTTTCAAGGGAATAGCATAGAAGGCAAAAGTTAGCGGATCGAGTGGCGTTGCTTCCACTTTTACGTATGGGTTTATTTTTAGAGCAACATTGCATTTATTTTGCATCTATTTTAAAAATAGATTACATACCTCACCAAACAATACCTCACCCAACAACGTATTTTTATTTTACATGTAAAATGATTACAGCCCTACACTTTACATGCAATCATTTTGCATGTAAAGTTTTAATATGTAAAGAACCAAACGCCCCCTAAGAATGAACAAAAATTTGAATGCGCTTAGACTTTCATAAACTTTTAAAAGTCTATATCTAAATTAAATACACATAGACTTTTATAAACTTTTAAAAGTCCACATAGAATATTATAAACTTTAAACTTTTACTCGATACTACTATATATTGATGTTCAGCTAACAATAATACTACGGGCACTTTTCTTAACGTCAAAATTAGTTGAATCTGTTAAAATAAAATGTACTTGAAGCGGTTCAATAAGCTGGATATGTTAAATTATGAAAAAAATTATATTTATTTAAAATATATTTTATTCTTTTCCTTATTGATAAAATCAAGACAAGAGTTTGTATTTATATATCTGCCAAATTTAGAGCCCGTTTGGTAGCACCAAAATCGGCTGTTTTAGTTGATTTTGCTGAAATTTATGAAGTTCTGGCTGAAGTGGTTGCATTGGATGATTCTGCTGATTCAAGAAAAAAATATTTTTAAAACATATTTAATTAATAAAATAAACAAAAAATGTATTTTTTTTGGATGAACAAAAAACATATGAAGAGTAACTTCAGCAAAAATAGATAAAATAGTCATCTATAGTAACTTCAGCCAATACAGCCAGAAAAGTAACTTCAACCTTACTTTTTCTGCTTATTACACAACTAAGCGCGCACAAGCAAAACTTATGTGTTTAATGAAAAAGTTGTCTGATAAGTCTGATAAGCCGAAAAACAGTGTTGTCAAACGGCCTCTTAAAAGAAAAACGTTAAAATAAAGAGTACTTCATTGTAATAAAAATCGTAACAAAAGCAAATGAATTTTGTTAGTTTGTAAGCTACTCCGTATAAAATTAAAAAGGCCCCACATGTTTAATCTAAATAAATACTCAAAACAAAGATGCCCATTGACTATTTCAAGAAAGGAAATCCGGGGGATTTCAAGAAAGGAAATCCGAAAAAAAGCAACGCTTAGTGAGAGTTGAGAGCTTTCTCTCGGGGGAAACAGGCCGCCATCAACGGTCCTTTTTCCTTTCTCTCACGCCACTGTGAACCGCCGAACACCACCACTACTCCTCCCTTGAGCTAAGACAACGTGTTACTAATTGCAGTTGAGTACCACCTTGGGATCTCGAACTTTAACTAAATACTCTTCATAGTCGATTTTGTGTTGTTGGAAGGGTTTGTAAGAGATCTAAAAATTGTTGAGAGAATCCGAGATATGTGTGGGGGTCGCCTCACCTAGGCGAACCTCTGGCCATTTTCTCCTTCCTCATTCGAGCTGTATCGTCTTTTCAAGTTACTGGTCACCACCGGCTCTGATGGGCAGAGTAACTAACCGAAGCTCCAAGCTTAAGGGGACCCCACCTGAGAAGAAAACATCTTTGAGAATTCAAGCCATGAGAGCTAGGGATGGAGAAACTAGCAGTACTCCTGTTGATACTCCTACTAAACCCGAGACTGAGAAAGGGGAAGGGGAGGCCGCAGTTTTGGAGGCAGAGGCGAACCACTTCACAAAGGAGGGGGAAGATATTACACAAAAAGAATATGGCAATGGAGTGGGGAATGTAACTAAACCTGCTGGGGCCATGGAGGTTAATGAAGTTCAGGAACCTATTAAGCAAGTGATTGAACAAGGTGCAAATGAGGGTACTCACACTGCTATTGTGACAACCATGGTTGAACAAAATATGGAGCCTAGAGTAGAGGAAGGTTTTAAATTACCACTGATTGTGGGGGAGAGTGCAAAACAGCCTCCTATTATTCAAGAGGAACCAACTATTAAGGAGAGTTCTTCTTCTCATACAAAAGAGGATGACAGTTTCAAGAAGACCAGTGTTTGGAAGTCACCTTGGACCTCTCTTTTCAAGGATAATAGGGAACCAAGCAAGGGCATGAAATTGAGGTACATAGAACCCGTTGGAGACTATGTTGATTTATCTAAAAGGGTAATGCCCTCTATTGTGGATCTATGGGGGTTTTGTCTGGTGGGATACTTCGCGGGCAGATTTCCCGGTTTAAAACCTATACATGAACTTGTTGCAAAATGGGGTGTTCAATGTAATGTGAGACAACATGACCAAGGGTGGGTTCTTTTCAAGTTCAAAAGTGAGGAGGCAAGAAGTAAGGTGCTCATGGAAGGCCCATATTCTCTTTTTGGAAAATCCCTGTACTTAAAGACCCTTTCAGAAGACTTCTCCTTTACTTGTGATGAGTTTCTAAGAGTGCCTATTTGGGTCAAGTTCCCCTACCTTCCTATGCAAGTGTGGGATGAAGAAGTCATAAGTGAAATTGCCTCTCGCGTGGGTACACCGTTGGCAACAGATAGAATTACCCAAGAGAAGGCAAGATCAAACTTTGCTAGAGTCCTCATTGAGGTGGATGCCTCCAAGGCTCCCCCTCTAAAAGTGAAGATTAAGATGCCAAATGCAAAATTCCACAACCAAAAGGTGATATATGAGACTTTCCCGAACTTTTGCTTCCATTGCAAGGTGTATGGACACCATGCCTTCACTTGCAAGATCATTGCCGAGATGGAGGAAAAAGAAAGAGCAAAGAGAAAGAAAGACATGGAGGAAGGGGAGTTACAACCTGTACTAAAAGAGCCAAAAGTGATCCAGACTTTGGAGGAGAAAACAACCGTGGACAAACCTACTGCAGCGGTCCTTCCTGCTGCTGCAGCCCCTGAGCCTACTGCCGAGGTATCCAGTAAGTACGATGCAGCAGTGTATCAAAGAATGGTAACAAAGGGGGTAGGGGGATCTATTGTACCAAAGAGAAGAGATCATCACCCTTTTGTGCAAAAGGTTAGGCTGAATAAAAGGAGACGAACAAAGCAAAAAAATAAAGAAGATGGGGAGATCACCTCCGGATATGAGACAAAGGAAGAGGAAGGAGACCCTAGAAGAATTAAAACGTTTACAGATGTATTCAATGACGAAGTTATTGTAACTATGCACACGGATGAAGTGCTCACACCTACCATTGAGGTCAAACATATGGATGACGTGAAGGAGCCTACCATACGGCTTAACCATCTTCTTAAAGTGGTAGAGACTAATGAACCCGGAGTATGGTTTACCAAAGCTTGCTTAGAGAACTTGCCCGGAGTAAAGAAGACAAAGAGATTTTATGTATTCTCGGCCACATTCATGAGGTGTGTCTATAGACACTTCCTTGATAGGTATTTTGAGGATGGGCATCCTATGGGCAATGGAAGCAAAGTTATGCATCCTAAGATGTTAAGCAAGAAGGAAACCCGAGTGGTGGATGACATAAGGGAGGCGTACCTTGATGATGTCATAACCAAAGCCGAATTTGCTGAAGATGGTTCCTATAAACTACATTTGAAGCATGCGGGCCATATAGATGAGATGATGACCAGAGTTGACAATTACCTAAGCATTGATAATGGCAAAAAGGATGGCATCACTTTTACGTCCGCTTGCTTTAACAAACTGCCGGGAGCCACGGAGACGGAGGAAGGGTATGACTTCTCCCACCTTTTTATGCTTAAAGTTTATCCTCTTTTTCTTGATAGGTACAAAGGATGTGAGAGCTATAGAGAATGGGTGCAACAAGAAAGACAAAGGAACAAGGGGTACAAGAGAGGGAAGGGGTATAATAAACATTCTTAATGTTTATAGCCTCTTGGAATGTGAGGGGGCTGAATCAAGCCTCAAAACAAAACTCTATACTTAATTTTATTAGGATTAATAAGGTACGTGTTTTCTGCCTATTAGAAACTAAACTGTCTAAGAGTACGTTTGATAATTTTATGCATTTGAGACTTCCAAATTGGATGTCTATAACGAATTTTGATAAAATAGATGGGGGGAGAATGGCCATCATTTGGGACTCCTCTTTTGTTGATGGGATGACTATGGAGGTTGATAATCAACATATTCATTCCCGATTCACTTGTAGGACAACCCAACTTAGCTTCTACATGACTTTTATTTATGCATTATATACGGTGGTGGAGAGAAGGGCATTATGGCACCATGTACACGGCTTAGGAACTAATATCCTTGCCCCATGGATTGTTTTGGGAGATTTCAACTGTGTTTGTGATCCGGGTGAAAGAAGAGGGTCTGCCCCCCCCTCGGCCTATATCATGAAAGACTTAAATGAACTTAGGCTTCAGGCTAATCTTACGGATGCCCCATCTACTGGGGAATTCTTCACTTGGCATAGAGGGTCCATTTGGGCCAAACTGGATAGGGTGTTGATTAACCCTATTTGGAGTGCACAAAGTGTTACATGTCAAGCTCACTTCTGTGATATGGAGCCTGAGTTTGACCATGTGGCATCATTAGTTAGAATTGGACAGGTAAAAAGTATGGGGACAAAACCCTTCAAGTTTTTTAATATGTGGCTAAAGCATGATAAATTTCAGGATATTTTGGAGAATGTTTGGATTAGGAATGTTGTTGGAACAGCTCAGTTTAGACTTGCTCGAAAACTAAAACTATTAAAACAACCGCTCAAACAACTAAACCAAGAAGAATTTAGCCATATCTCAGCTAGGGCAAAGGCGTCCAAGAAGGAGTATAAGAGGATCTTTCACCTTGCCTTAGTATCCCCTTCGGATGACAGGTTGAAACAAGAACTTTTTGATGCAAAAAAGAGGGCCCTCTTCCTGAAGCAAGCCGAGGAAGCCTATCTCATGCAGAAGGCTAAGGCTATTCATATAATTGAAATGGATAGAAGTACTAAGTATTTTCATTCCATTGTAAAAAAGAAAAATGCAAAGAATTCTATAGCATCCATTACATTGGAAGATGGGAGTCTTACCCAATCTATGGATCAAGTTGCGATGGAATTTGTGACCTTCTTTAAAGGATTATTTGGCACCTATATACCTTCGGTTAATTATGACCGTAAGGTTATTACTTCGGGTGTGACCATAGACCAAACAAAGGCTGAGGACCTTATTAGTCCTATGACTGATATGGAAATCAAACAAGCCTTATTTGACATTGGAAGTGATAAGGCTCCCGGTCCGGACGGATACTCATCAGCTTTCTTTAAGTCCAATTGGAGTTTAGTAGGAGAAGACCTATGTGAGGCAGTTAAAGAGTTCTTTGCCTCGGGGACTATGCTTAGACAAGTTAACCATACTGTTGTAGCATTGATCCCTAAGACAAATCACTCTCCCACAGTGGCTGATTTTAGACCTATCTCGTGTACTAACGTTACTTACAAGGTCATAACAAAGATCTTAGCATCTCGTTTAGGGCCTCTCCTTCCAACGGTTATTCACCCTTCACAAGGAGCTTTTGTTGATGGAAGATTGATGGCCGATAACATCTTTCTTGCCCAAGAGTTAGTAAAGGGGTATACCAGGAAGAGAGGTTCACCTAGATGTATGATCAAGGTGGATCTCAGAAAAGCTTATGATACTGTTTCTTGGGATTTTTTGGAAAATGTTTTGAGGGATATTGGGATACCCACAATTTTTGTAAATTGGATAATGGAGTGTGTCACAACATCATCTTTCTCTATCTCCATCAATGGTGTCCTACACGGGTGGTTTGAAGGAAAGAGGGGGTTAAGACAAGGGGATCCTATGTCTCCATTGTTGTTTGTGATTTGTTTGGAGTATTTCTCTAGGTTGATGGTTCTTAGGACCTCGGGCCCTAACTTTAACTATCACCCGCTCTGCTCCCAACTACAGATCTCACATCTTGCATATGCGGATGACCTTGTTTTGTTTTCAAAAGGAGATTGTAAGTCCATTAAGATCCTGTCCGAGACGTTGGAAGAATTTGGAATGGTATCAGGACTCTTGGTTAACCACGACAAATCTAACATTTTTTTGGGAGGGAACGTGGCGAATGCATTGCCACAAATACTTGATTTGGTTGATTTTCAACAAGGGGCATTTCCGGTTAGATACTTGGGTATTCCATTAGCCCCACTAAAGATCTCTGTGGCACAATTCGCCCCTTTGATTGATACGGTCACAGATTATATTAATGCTTGGAATACTAAAACTCTTTCCTATGCGGGAAAGTTGGAGTTGATTAGAGCTGTGATGCAAGGTGTCCAATCCTTCTGGTTGGGGATCTTCCCGGTCCCTAGGACCATTATCGACAGAATTGTTAGCCTTTGTCGTATTTTCCTTTGGGGGGGAAAATATGCCAAGGTGGCTTGGGATGATGTTTGTTTACCCAAACAAGAAGGGGGGTTAGGTATTAAAAATGCAAGGATATGGAATAACGCTCTTCTCTCTAGGACCCTATGGAATATTCACCAAAAACAGGATACTCTCTGGGTCAGATGGGTTCACGGGGTATACCTCCATGGGAGGGACGTGTGGACATTTGTTCCACACAATAGGGATTCCCAACTAATGAAGAGAATAGCCATGATCCGAGACTCCATTGTCTCCAAATTCACTACTTTGGATACGGCTATTACTTTCCTGCAAAAGAATGCCCCTAATGGAAGGCTGGCCACAGGAAAGGTCTATGAATTACTTAGAGTTAGAGCCACCCCTCGGGTGTGGATGTCTTTTATATGGAAACCTTTTATACCCCCAAAGTTCTCATTCATCATGTGGCTTGCCTTGAGAAACAGGCTACCTACATATGATAACTTGGGGTTTCTTGATGTAATTAATATGTGCTTTTTTTGTAAGGGTGGTCCGGAAACAGTACCACACCTATTTTTTGGTTGTACTTTTACAGGTCAGGTATGGGACATGGTGAGACAATGGCTTGGGCTAAAAAGACGAATGACAACACTGTTGAGTGCGGTCAAATGGATTAAAGAAGAGCATAACGGAGCAAATATCAAAGCAAAGTCCATAAGGATTTCACTGTGCTACACGGTCTATTGGACATGGAGAACTAGAAATGCTATATGTTTTGATGGAGCTAAGGCTAAGGTGGAGGATATTGTGTCGCATATCAAGTATATGGTGTACAAAATTCTCTATTCGCTATACCCAGTCCATATGATTACTTTTTGAAACTTTGGGGCTATTTAGACCCCGTTTTTTTTGTCAATAGCTTGATGGCTGATTTTTGTGGTGGGTAGCTAACTTATACGGTTAGTTATCGAATAGAGAGGAAGAGGCATCCTATATGAGGACTGGCCTATTGTTTTTGCTTTTTGTATATGATGTACATAAACATTCTTGGATGATTCTATATATATTTACATTTCATCAAAAAAAAAAAAAAAAAGGAAATCCGTATACTTTTAATATTTAAAAAAATAGAGGGTTATGTTCACTCTCCAAATGGGAGGTGAACAAAATTAAACTTGTACTTCACAACTTCGGATGTTTTTACTTGGACTGTAATTTGCTGGTCTGGTTTGGTCTGATCTGGTCTGTTCTAGTCTTAACTGGTCTGGTCTGGTCTGGTAAGGTCTAGTTTCTTTGTATTTTTATAACTATCCAAGTCTGGTCTGGTCTGGTGTGAACTGGTCTGGACTGGTCTGGTCTGGTCTGGGACAAATTACAGTCCAAGTAAAAACATCCTTCGTATCATTTAATTACACTTTTCTTAATTAATTATAATCGTGCATTGTCATTATATTCACATTTTGTTAATAGGTGTGTCAATTCAAACGGAGAGTTTTTCTTTGTGATTTTTACCTTTTATTTACCATCACATATTCGCTTATTGTGCTGAATATTTTAAAGATCTGGTGGAAGTAGTTGGTTGACTGTTTCTGCTGATTTATGAAAAAATATTTAAAATATATTTTATTAAAAAACAAAGAAAAATTTATATAAAAAAAATGGATAAAATCATCCTCTGAAGTAACTTCAAAGTTCAATCAATTCAGTCAAAAAAGTAACATCATCTTTACTTATTTGGATTATTATACGGAGTACAATTTAGCATGTGGAATTCAAAGCTAGGTGTTTGGGTGAAAAGGTGTACTGATAATTCTGATAAGCCGAAAAATAGGGTTGCTGAATAGGCTCTTAATTTTTTAATAATCTCAAATTTCGATTATAACTCTCAACCACCATCTTCAAATAATATGTTCTTTTTTTGGCCTTCCGCTAATTAACCTATTACATATTTACATATACTTTTCAAATAACCTTAAAATAATCTAAATTCGTTTTTTGATCCCGAATTATTCTAGTAAGTAATATCACCGATTGATTTATGCCACTCAATGATACTCCTCTACAAATTTGTCATATCACCAACTTAAACTTATAAAATTTTATGAATGTATGTGGATGTCCTTACTATTACGTTTACATGTCTAATGCATTTGGTTTGGATTTACACAAGCAAATAAAGGGAAATTTCAGAAATAGTAGTAAAAATGTTTTAAAACTTTAAAATAAGATTTTTATTTTTATTCTCTAAATAGGAATAATTAATATTGTCATATTTAAAATGTTGTAATATCAAAACATGACAGTTCCTAATTAAACAATAAAATATATAATTTCTATAATTTACCAATATTTTTAGTTATCATTGGTGATTAATATGCCCAAATAAACTCTAGTGGTCAATACTCAATATGTACCTTCTCCCATACTATGGTGTCAATAAGACTGGACAAAGTCCTATGACGTTTTTAATTGGATCGAGGAAGCAGTCCCGCTCAGCTGGTCCCTTATGGGAGGTCTCGGGTTTGAAACTCAATCGAGTGAGCTTCAGTTCAATTTACTCTAGGCCTCCAGAACCTCTCCCCGGGCTCCCCATTGAGTAAACAAAAAGACGTTTACTCTAGGCCCCCCATATTCTATTTTCGTAGTTCAGAATTGAACGATAAAAAATGGTGCAGATAAGCACTTTTACGATCTACTCTTCTAAATTACATCCTTTTCTAGACTTTCAAAATCTTATCTTTATCAGGCCAGTTTTATATGAATTTGCATTTCAGTTTTAAACTGATCGCCAATCCAATTTATGCTTGATTTGGATGGTGATAGGGCGGACTCAACCCTGGAATACAGGAAAGAGCATTCTCTTTGTAAACTAACCAAACCTAGACTATAATATAAAGAATATAGGCATTTTGTATTCTATGAAAAATATAGCATTCTCATGGATAGGATACCGTGAACAAGCATCTATGGTACAACACAGAGATATGTTTTTCAGCACAGAACTAAGTGAAATAGAAAGAAAGGATGGATACCATGAAAACTATGTTTTTGATATGTCCTGCTTGAGTTCACAACCTAGGTGGTTGGCTCACAACCTAGGTGGTTGGCTTGATCAAGTGAACTCACAATTTCAGTGACTTTGCATTTAAAAACTACCCCCAGATTGAAAATTCGTTGGCACACATGATCGAGTTGTTAGCCTAAAATCATAACAACGCGGCGGAAATAATAGGATCGCTAACCTCCAGCCATATTGTTGATGAACGGTCGAAGAACGTGGAAGAACACCGGAAATCCTTTTCGTCTCCCACTTCACTCCTCACTCTAGATGGTGTATATTGCTTAGAGCCTATTCGGATATGGAGCTAAGCATACATGTGAATGTATGTTGTGATAGGAGGAGTGGGAGGACCATGGAGCACTTATATAGCCATGATAAGTCCGTATTTTGACACGCATTTGATGCGTGTTGAGATCGGCTTTTGATGATTTTCCTAGTTTTAAGGTGTTACAAGTCTCAATTTTAGCTCAAGTTATGTTTACCAGGCGTTGGTTCGAGTTTTGTGTCATTTGGAGTCAAAATCAGGAATTTAGAGTTCGGCAATGGCGCTTGAGGAGAAATCGGGATGATTCGAGATGCATTCGAGAGTGGATTGAGAGCTTTGGAGGTCACCGGGAGGTTCACGATGAAGATTTGATGACAAAAGAGCTCTAGGATTGGCTATGGGATCAAAAGAAGATGAATGAAGCTGGAAAACGACGATCAGGATGACCTTTTGTCAATCGTTCAAGCATATCTCTTTGTATAAGCATCCAAAGGATACGATTCAAGTTGCATATGAAAGCCAACTTCAAGGGCTACAAATCATATGAAGACACCATTACGAGAATATGAGAGAAAGAAGGTGAAAACAGACGATGAAGTCAGATGATCTCTGCTGCGATTTCAGAATGACACCTTCCACCATTTTAGTCATATCTCTTGATTGGATGATTCAAATCACATTCGGCAAATTGGGGTGGATAGAGGACTTCATTATCTACAACTTTCATGAAGGAAGTTTTGTCAAATTCGGAATAGAAAAAAGGCTGAAGAGCACGGACGCACGATCGTGCGTAAAAGGACGCACGATCGTGCGTAAGAGCCAACAACGCGGCAACTAATCTGCCTGCTACGCACGATCGTGCGTGGCAAGGTACGCACGATCGTGCGTACACCCGAGACGCGGATTTCAGCCCTTTTTTAGTCCCAGTTCAGCCCAAACTCATCTGTTTTCTATAAATAAGACCCCCATACCCATATTTTGACGTTACGAACATTACGGAGAGACCTAGGGACGGATTTAACACCGTTTTTACGCTATTTTCTTCCAAGACCCTGGGATTATTTGTAAGTTCATCTTTTTAATTAATGACAATTTATTCTATTCATCTCAATTCTGTTGATTCTTCAATTATGAATTGTGAGTAGTTTAATTAGGGATTTGGGGTTGATGAAGGGGTTAATCATGATGTATGGCTAGATTCTTGTCGGTTTAATTGCATGAATGCCGTTTAATTTGTGTTTGAATAATTTAACTGATATCTCTTGTAACCTAGACTGCAGCTAGAATTACAATTGCATGTAGAATGAATTAAGAGAGATCTAATTTGTTCTAGGACACATTCACACACACTTAATCGTTCGCTAAGAGATTAGTAGCGATTAAGGGGCCGTAAGCTCGCTCGTCTTGGCAATAATTTAGGATCCTGTCGCATGAGAGATCAGCCTGGTATCCTAAATTATTGTACTCTACGCCGCGAGAGCGGTAAGAACTTAGTAATGATTAGCTAGGCTCAATTAAATTAAATTCATGTAATTAGGCCTGATCTGCCAGAAATCTGGTTACCCCGGAATCAAACCCTATTCCCTTCGTCGTTAATTGAGAAGAAACCACTTTTATTTTAATCGTTCAATTCGCATTAGTTTAATTTTAATTCACCAATCAAATCTCGCACACTTGCATTTATTTATTTTATTTCTTTTTAATCGCTGAATTTAGTTAATCTTTAATTCCCTTTTGTCCGTCCCTGTGGAGACGATACTCGTACTTTCAACCACTATTCTACAAACTATTTTAAGTGCGAGAAAACTCACATCAGTTTTTGGCGCCGTTGCCGGGGACGGTGTCGGTTTTAAGGGTTAATTAATTTCAGCGAGATTTTTTTTAGTTAGTTTTCTTTTTGTTCTTCGTAGGATTTTTCTGTGCTAACCTTTCAGGTAATTTCTAAGAGGCATGAGATGAACCCATTCAGCCAAATTCCTGGAGGAATTCCTTACCCTCAAACCTCCATGGAATATTCACCATATACGCCATACCCTCCTTACACTCCTCCTCCTCCTCCTCCTCCTCAATATTACTCACCTCATCAAAATTATTCTCCAACACCACAAAAGTTTCCATCTTCCTATTCTTACCCTCTTCCAAATACGCAATACTCCCAATCTCATTCTCCTAATCAGTATCCTTATCCACAATATCCTCGGACAAAACCAGGCTCCATAATGGAATTTCTCATTCAAACTAAAAGTCCCGAGGAATTGGTTGATTGCTTTCCTAAAAATAGCATTTGTTCCTTCTGCGGAGGCGGTCATCATTCATGTCTTTGCCCCATTCCTCCATACGACCATCCTTACTGGGCAACTACATACCCCACTTCGTCCTCCCCACAACTTACAAACTCAAATGTTTCAATCACTCCTACGTCTTTGCCGAGCTATGAGCCACAAGATTCAGACGACGAATTGGAAGAGATAATTTCAGAGAAGCTGTCTGACCTGGAAGAGACTAAAGAAATTCATGCAAGTGTCCGATGCAAGTATGCAGAACATGGAGAATCAATTGGGGCAGATTGCAAAGGCTTTATCTGAGGAGTCCGGGAGATCCCATCCTAGCGACACAAAAGCCCAACCTGAGGAGACCAATAGGGATGATCATGTGAGTGAGTCGGACTGTGAAGGTGGGAATATGATGGATGATACACTTCCTGATACCTTTGAAGACCCACCTATGGTTGAAGATGAAGAAGAAGATAG